TTTAATTTTAATATTAAAATTAAAATTAGTGAGATTATATTTAAATATATGTGCACATATATTTAAATGGGTTATTATTAATAATTAAATGTTAATATATATGTGTGTGTGTGTGTGTGTGTGTGTGTGTGTGTTAATTAATTTTAATTATATTAATAATTAATTAAAATTAAAATACCATAAAGGGTGTGTTTGGTTGCAAGGATGGATTAACTTAAGAGTCCATGGCTACTCCTATTGGGATTAGGGTTAATTAAGTGACACTATATAAGTGAAACTTAATTAAAACATAAAATAACAATTCATTCATTGATTGAAAAGAAAAACTCTAGCCACCTTTTCTTCTCTCTCACGTTTTTCAAAGTGTATGTGAATCAAAGATTTTCTTTTGATTCACTTGATTCTTGAAGCCTTCCATTAGTTCTAGCAAAACAATAGTAGGTTCTAGGAATTATCTTCATGTGGACGACGTTCGTGCGATTCTCTTCTTGAATCGGCAAGCGAAATCAAAGTATTGAAGGAGCCTCTAAACATTAGTAATGTATTCCTGATCCTTGTATGGATTATTGGTTTTGATTTACATTGTACAGATTTTTATGTTTATTAACTTGTAAACAGTTTGATCTATACTCGAATCTTGGCGTAGAAAAAAGTGATTGATTTCCGTTTTATTTTAATTTTTTCTACTGCCTTCTCGAGATCAATCACTTACAGAATTTGTGTCATTCATCAACAAATTGAAACTTAGTTATTTTGAATTTTAGGTTGAATCAATTTCTAATTATTTTCAGTTATATTTAAACTTATCTTGACACTCATGTTCGTTGTACATGAGTTCGCATCATCGTGTTCACAACATGAGATTGTGACATCATGCTCAACTTAGAAGGTATCAATTCGTGATTGCAGCCTACGGTGCAATAGTGCCTAGGTAGAATGCACAAGTTTTCGAAGTCCAATTTTGAACTCCACCTCGCATACTTGACACGACGTGCATCCAAGAACCACGGTCGACACAACTTGACAAGCCAAGTTGTCCAAAACTCAAAAGCTCACCAAGCTGCTCGCTTCCATACTTCGCCCAACTTCGATTGGTTAAGAAAACTTCCAACATTTGAAATAACACAAGAGCTGTCGAACCAGGTTTTATGTTCCTCCTCACGACGATAACTTAATCCGTACTAAGTATGCATGTCAAGTCGAGGCACACAACCTTGATCGACTTGATGTACTTGTCTTATTTGAGTCCGCCCAAAGCAAGAACGAACAAGGGATTCCAAAATTCCTTCTCTGTAGTTCGGTACAAATGTCGAATGGTTGTACACAACAGCGGTGCAACGTTTCAAACAATAGTCCATCCAACCTATCGAGCTGCTAGCACTAACCCATTCAGTTCGCACTCATATTCGATTTGATCTACTCTCTAAGCTAAAGACTCCTTAACTTAGAGAGTGGGGGACAAATTGTATGTGCAAAAAATCGTATTGGACTCTTGACAGTCCAAAAACACTTGACTCCACTTCGGAGAACATCAACAGACGGCCCCGTGCCATGATCCAACTCCGATTGATCCAGTATTATGGCCTAGTGCCTCAACCTAACTCCAGTTGGTCCTACATTCCAATTTCACGACTTAGTGCCTCGACCCAACTTTGATTGGTCTTACATCAAAGCCCATCCTGTAGAAGATTCATTCTATGAGTTGGTTCATTCTATAAGTTGGTTTACTCTACAAGCTGGCCTACTTTATGAGCCAAGCCACTTTGCGATCTAGGCCACTCCACAAGTCAAGTCTCTCTACAACTTGAGCCCAATCATGAGTCAAACTTCTCAAAAGAGTTCGCACTCACTACTAAAGATCTCGTGTCCTACATGAATCCTAACTCTCCATAGATTTTGAATCTAATGAGAATCTAACACTCAAAAGACTCTGAATCTTATGCGAATTCTAACAATTCCAAGTCCCATACAAATTCTAACACCCTACGGACCCAGAATCCAACTAGGATTCAAATATCCTGGCAGTTCTAAGTTCTACACAAATATTCCCTCTTCGAGTACTCTTAGTTTCGTAAGAACTAGTACTCATATCTTCACAAGCATTGGAACTCTGAGTTCTACAAGGACTAGAACCACCCTGACAACCTATATAAACAAAGGACAGTCCTCTCAAAAAGACATTCAATCCACAATTCAGAATCCAGTATTCAATCGACACTCGATACACACATTATTCCCCCGCCTACTTTCTCTTTAGTCGTCGCCTATCACCGTAGAGTTGAGTTCTTACCACTCTACGATGATGGTCACGCCTTAACTCCGCAATCATGGTAAACCTTCATTTTTACCTTTTCCGCTCAATTTTCCATCACAACCTTGTTGACTTAAGCTTCGAAGTACCTACGACTGATACCACACCAGTGTCCCCAAGTGCTCAACGTTCACCTTTTGTGTCTCTCCGTAGGTTCAGAAGATTGTCAATGGCCTCTTCCTCTCAAGACCAATTCTGAAGGACTTCCAGTAGATTTTACCATCTACAGTAAGCAATGAATTTCTTATGATATTGGTTAAGATTAGATTTTATGAGGAACAATTGTAAAATTATCGAGATTATAAGATTAGAGGATTCAAAATAAATAAAAATAAAAATAAACAAGAAATTGGGTTTGAATTATATCAAACCATGTGATGTGGAAAAAAAGAAATATCAAACCACTATGGGGCCTTTTGGCATTTATATTCTTGTAAAATAGAAAAAGAAATAAATTCAAGAAATAAATAAATGGAATATATAATGAACCTAAGAAAAGTATAAAAGAATTACGAATACCTATTATAAGTATCCAATATATCCTCCATTCAAGTTACTTTAATGATAAAAATGTATATAAATAACACAGTGTATACATATTCTGACCTATGTATACATTAATTTTGTTAATTATTTCATTTATCACAACATCATGAGTTAAGATGATGTTGCTAAATTATCCATGAGTTTAGGAATTGGAACCGATCGGTTCAGGCTTCGGGTCTAAATCACAAGAATCAGCCAATTTTGGTTCTAGTTTTGATTACAATTCCATGAGATTGGGTCGAGTGCCCAGACCCGCCTACTCATACTAGATATATAAATTTTTTCATATAAATAATGAAATGAATACATATAAAAAGCCAATTTAATAAATATTTTATAAACATTGATGAAAACTGTGTCAATAAAAAAGTGGTGTCACATCAATTTGAATGCATTGATTTGTATATTTATTATACATATAACAGCTCTCATAGGAATATTGAAAGAAATTCAGGCTTTTTGTTTCTACAGTTTTATTTTCATTTTCTTCGGTTTAAAAACAACCAAAAACACGCTCCTATATAATTTTGTTGTATTTGCAATTGAGAATTACAAAGAAAAGAGGTGTTGGAGAGAGAGAGGTGGGCCCTTTCTTTACATAAAAAAAAAGTGTATATTATATTTACCATTTTATGTAATTTATTCTCTCTTTTAAAATAACAATTTTCATTTCAAATCAAAATTTTTATCACAACATAACAAATGGGAACCAACAATTCACATATTTAAGACAAGCTCTTCAACATGAACAAAATAAATTGTATTTCAAAATAGTTTTTCTATTGTGTATGTGATAAATTTTGGTTTTTTTTTTTTCACAACTTTTTTATATTTTTAATATTCTAAAAGAAAAATACAAAATTTATAAAAGAACACGCCATTGGGGGCAGCCTACAACAGCCTCTTACTACCGAAGAAGTCCACTAGAAAACTCAGAGCCACCGTTTCCAGACCCATAGAATGTGCAGTTGAGCTGAGCCCATATGCGGGCTGGGCTGTCTCCTGGTGAGGCCGTGGCCCAGACGGATGTGAAAGTTGAAGTGGACAGCTCAATGGTAAAGGTTTTGATAAAGATGATGGTTGTATTAATTGTTGATGGGTGGTGCACGATTAGGTGACGATGGTTCATGCAAGGAAATATATATTTTAGTAATTTTGATATCCTTATCCAATGTTGATTTTTGATAAGGACAGGGAATACTAATGTATGTAAATGTAATACATAACATATCTCCTTATCCTGGTTATAGAAACGCAAGACAGCATAATTTAGTAACTAAGTTTAGAGATCAACAATAAATAATAAACAAATTGCTTTTGCCAATACAAGTTGAGTTGGCAGAAGTGGATCATCGCCCAACTTGCCCTTTAGTTAAAATATAATATCCCAATATTTGGGTCTGAGCCTCTGTCACTCAAACATCTATCTTTTTTCATAAACACCAAAAATCTAACATATAAATGATATTGTGCAAAGAAATTATAATTTCATTTGAGTTTAATACATTAAAAAGGAAAAAGTAACAATTGGGTAACGTCAGTTGAAGAATGGAAGGCACTGAACATGTGATTTTAAAGGCAAATTAAAAAAAAAAAAAAAATCTGGATTACATCACCGTATAATATTTCTCAAATTATTCAAACTTTTAACAATTGAATTGATTCCACTCAGAATAAGTGTATTTATGGCAATCCAACGTTTATCCGGTAACGTGTTACATTATGAATTTTTCAACTCCAATAACAAAATTTCTTCTAAGATATCATAAATTAAATAAATCTAGAATTTATAATTATTTTTAACACCAAAAATTTAATGTTATTACTATAATCATAAGGAGATTTTTGTTATTTGATTAATATATAAGGGGGATTATTGTCATAAACCTAAAAACATATATAGAATATTATTTGTCTTGAATTTTCTGATTTGAGATCCAACAATTTGCATGATATGTACGTAATTTTCAATTATGATTGTTACATCAACATGCGTATCAAATCAAGAAACTACATGGATAAGATTAGTGGGACCTAACTTTCCCATTAGAAATCAAAAATTAAATGAGAAAAAATGAAAAAGAAAAAGCGCGCGAATAAACCGCAGCTGTTAAACAAGAGCAAGTTGAAGAGTTCTGGTCTGTTACAGAGCCAGTGACCCCTTTGGTTTGGGCTTTGTTCTTATCCACATAAAACAAGAACCGTCTCCTTGAATTTCTCAAACACGTCACTCTTGTTTTAGCTTTATAAAAGGACAATATATTTCCATGATTTTCTGATCTTCAACCACATCCATTTTCATTCCGTTTTTCTCTTCTTTGTTAGCAATGGCGTCTTCAGAACAACACATTCTTGTCACTGGTGGTGCTGGCTTCATTGGTACACACTGTTCGCTTCAGCTCCTTCAAGAGGGTTATAAGGTCTCCATGATTGATAATTTCCATAATTCTGTCATGGAAGCTGTTGATAGCGTTAAGGAATTGGCCGGTCCTAAGCTTGCTGAGAAACTTCAATTTCATAAGGTATCACATCCATCTCTTTCTAAATTTGATGGTTTATGTAACAATGGTTTGATTTTGATGGTTTTGTTTAATTGCAGGCCGATCTTAGGAAGATTGATGAATTGGAGAAGGTTTTTTCTCAGAATAAGTATGTTTAATTTAATGATTTTGAATTTGGTAGATTTTGTTTTGTGGGTTTGTTTGTGTTACTATATAGGTTGAATTCAGATTAAAACAGTTTATAATGTAGGTTTTGTATATAATAATTTAACAGATATGATGCTGTGATCCACTTTGGTGCACTTAAGGCTGTTGCGGAGAGTATGCAACATCCTTTCCGATACTTTGAGAATAATTTGATTGGCACTATTAACCTATATCAGGTTATGTCCAAGTATAACGTTAAGAAGGTTTGGTCTGTTTTCTCATCTCTTCTTATTGATTTTGTTATGTTTGTTGCAGTATTCTATTTTGCAATTGATTATATTATAGTTTCTCATCTTTCAATTACTTTACCAATATCAATTGCTTTCACCAATATAAATGTTACTGCATACTGATCAGAGATTGCTTTGCCCACAACCGACAATGACACTGATTCATTGTCTTTTTCCCCATAATAGATGGTGTTCTCATCATCTGCCACTGTTTATGGACAACCTGAAAAAATACCTTGTGTTGAGAACTACCCGTATATGCCTATGAATCCTTATGGAAGGAGCAAGGTATTCATTGCTGCATCCAGAAAGTTGTTTCCTTTTGTTGCTTTACAGTAGTGTAGTTCGTTTCAACTTAAAATTGTTGTTTTAATGTTAATAGGTTTACTGTGAAGAAATGGGCAAAGATATTCAGAAGGCAGATCCAGAATGGAGAATTATTTCACTGAGGTACTTCAATCCTGTTGGTGCTCATAAGAGCAGTAAGCTTGGTGAAGATCCCAAGGGTATCCCAAACAATCTCATGCCCTACTTACACCAAGTAGCTGTTGGCAGATTGCCTGAGCTTAATGTTTATGGTCATGATTATCCAACAAAGGACGGTAGTGCGGTATGATAAGTTTATATGTATGTTTCTTGATGAAAAACCTTAGATTACTGTTGGTAGTTGTCCTGCTTGGTCGGGGGAATACTTATAAGTTATAAGAGATGCGCCAGTATACCCGCAACCATGTACACAGTCATTAAAATCATATATTTGCTGTTTAATTAACTGTCTATTGTTATTGAACAGGTCCGAGACTACATTCATGTTATGGACTTAGCTGATGGTCATATTGCTGCTCTTAAGAAGCTCTTTACAGCACAAGATATAGGTGATCATATATTATTTATACTTTAACATGTCAACGAATTTGGAGTCACCTGTTAACTCTGACTGGTGTGCACCTTTCTTTTTCCAAGAGTAGATTAGGCAAATTTCGGAGCTCACCATGTTTCATTTTTTTATGTCATCCTAGAAATCTTGTATAGCATTTAAGTTTTTCAATTATGTCTCTTGCAATAGGTTTTACTGCTTATAATTTGGGAACTGGGCAAGGTACATCTGTGCTCGAAATGGTAGCCGCATTTGAAAAGGCTTCTGGCAAGGTCATTTCTTCTCTGCATTTTTTTCTCAGTCATCCTCTATATATGTATAGTTGTTTGCTTACATGTTAGCCTTTTGTTATAACATTTTTGCAGAAAATCCCTGTCAAATTATCTCCAAGAAGACCTGGGGATGCAACAGCTGTTTATGCTGCTACCGACAAAGCTCAGAAGGAACTTGGCTGGAAGTATGTTGTTTATATATCCCCACTAATAGTTTAGTTCATTACATATATAATATTTAAAATTATTGGGGATACTGCTGTAAGATGTGGATTTCCATGTTACCTTTATTATTTGTATTGTTTAAAAGTATATATTTTTAGCTCACGGACACTTTGAATCACAAATGATATTAACAACCTAGAAATGATTCGTTACATAATTAGCAGTTAATTAACAAATCAAAACAAAGGGTTATTGACAAGAGGTTTTAGTTTACACCAAATGTTGAGAATGCGAGCATAGGTGTTATGTTGGTTCTTCCTTTCGGAACTATTTTTCATGCTATATATATGATAGCCATCTGTTTCTTAATGTGGTCTAGCCTTGTTGATTTTTACCTTTACGTTTTATCCCTATTTCAGGCCAAAATATGGTATCGAGGAGATGTGCAGGGACCAATGGAACTGGGCAAAGAACAACCCAATGGGGTACCAGAAAAAGGCTTGAATGATTTGCTCATCTGTGAAAAATACAAGTTATAATAATCCCTCAGCAAACATAGAGGTCCAAGATATCTATAGAGCAATACTCACGCAAATTTTGACTTCATTGACTAGTGTTTTTCTTTCTTTTACGCTTTTGTATTTAGGGGTAATGGACTATAGACTCAGTTGCCTTTATTATGAATAAAAACACATACTGTATTCACTTCGAGATGAATTATTTTTTATGTTTAAGCAGTGCATCCCAGAAGGTATTTGAAAGTCTGCTTTGTTGCTCAGTACTGCACTTAAATTAAAAACAGAAGTAGAACTTGTAAATGTCAATGCACAAGCAAGTGGCGTCATTTATATTTTGTCAGGTCACCTAACTCTATACATGTTGCTGCTATTTTATGACTTTTATTATTTCGAATACTATTAAAAATATTGACTAAGAAAGAATTGAAATGTATATTTCCCTTTTCATCAACTTCCACTGTTTAAAATTCAGCAGTCAACTGGATGCAAATTTTATCTTTATCTGATCAAGAAACAACTTATGAAGGCACTACTCATCACTGATTTCTCATACTGACATGGCATCGGTTGATTACTCAATGGAAATATACATTAATATTATTACTCCTTCCTTGAAATTCCTTAGACATTACCAAATCCCCCACAACCAGGGTTAAAAATAAATCAAAGTTTAGTTGCTTTAAAGGGGGCCCAAATTTCATTTGGAGCAGGTTGGAAGAATCTTCAGTTGAAGAAACGGAAAATGAAAGAAGACAGTGATGTTTTGGCGATTGCTTGTAGACCAATGGCCAATGTTTCACCTGTAACTGCAAGTTCTGTAGCTCAACAACCGTTTCCAACTCCATCGCCGTTTTCTTTCTCAGTCGCCTCTACTGGGTGGAGCTCTAGACCTTCCATTCATTATACGAATCTTGGTCTTCGGTTCTCGGTGCTATTGTTCTCCTTTGTCTCTGCAATTTCTCTGGCTACTCCATCAAAGAAGAAAAACCAACCTTCTAGCTTCACTGCATATCCGGAGTTAATGTAAGCCTAGCTAGGGGAAAGAATATATATGGTTAATTTCTCTTAAAAGATCATAAGTATTACTATCTTTATTACTATCTTTTGTGATTGGCTTCATGTAGGTACTGCTTCACTGTACACATTTTGGCTTTCCTCTACACGTCTTTCCAGCTCTTTAAAGGTATTTGTGACATTGCCCACAGAGGGTTTCTGATATCAGACATGATCTCTGACTATATGAGCTTCATCCTGGATCAGGTGAGTGCACTGTGTTTCTTTTATATTGGGTTCGCTTTATTTATTTTAATACCTATGCTAGAAAATTGTTACGCTCTTCGGAAGGCTAATTCAATCCTATGATACGATAGTTGGTGGGTTACCTTCTCATTTCAGCTTCCTCAGTGGCAATACCAGTCATTCTACAGATTGAAAAAGCCACGCCACTATGGACGGCAGCCATCATCTCCAACACCATGTCCTTCGTAACTTTTCTCGTTATTGGAATTTGTACCCTTTTATCAGGCTACAAGCTTTGCAAGAGAATCATCTGGTGATTCTTCATTTTGCTTGTATATAGCATAAAAATTGTAAGCTCTCCCTGACGGCAACAAGACAGAAGACAATAATCGTTTGTACATAAGACTGCATACTTTTCCATAAGGTTTTTCTTTTTTTCCCAAATTTATGAATTTCAACTAGACGCTTCCAACCCTAAACGAGTAGAATTCGATCTAAAAATCTCGTATAAACTTACAAGTGATATTATCAATTGGTACCCACGACAAGTGTGCATTGCCTGTGTCGATATATTTGAAATCTGTCAGATAATGGTACATCGAGCTTCACAGAACACTTTTGATATTACAATCACTTGTAGATAAACCCCTAGAATATACCTCTAAACTATCTCGAGGGAGACATATAAAACCAAGGAAACTGTCCTGGCCATGCTATGAAGAAAAAACAAGTATCACCTAAGCTGCTTTTGCAGTTTTTTCTTCTTCGGAGACAGTGAGCTTGCCTTCAGTGAACTCACAAGCTGGAATAGGAACCTTGAGCTGCTTTTGCAGTTTCTTCACAACAAATATTTCTGGCTCCTCGCATATGGTTACCACAGTACCCCTCCTGCCTAGCCGACCTGTGCGACCAGCTCGATGTGCATAGTGAATTGGGTCTGTAGGTAAGTCTAAATTAACCACAAGATCACACTCAGCAACATCCAAACCCCTAGCAGAAAGTTCATTTGTCACCAGAACTCTCACCTCCCCATTCTTAAATTTTTTCAAAGTTCTTGATCTAGCAAGCTTACCAAGATCCCCATGCAGATCAGCCGCTTTTATCCCACGAGCTTCTAGCTTGAACACAGCATCTTTTAGCTGCTTACTATAGTTCATGAAGGCTATCACAGACTTAGCATCAAGTGCATGAACACACCTTCTCAATGTATCAACCTTGTGTTGCAACTTTGTTACACAATAGTAGTGTTTCAGTGCAGGAGGTAGGCTCAGCTCGGCTGCCTGAGCCGGCACATTTGAGTTTGAGCTTGAACCAGGTTTAGGCCCCGAAAAATTTACAGGTGCAGACATAGAGAAGGATTCCAGTGGCATAACTTTTTTGGCTTGAACAAGAAGTGAGTCATGTCCCCAACTCTTAGCTGCCCTAATCACAGAAAATGGCACTGTTGCTGACACCATAATAGTTCGACGTTCAGCCCAACTCTCAAGAGGGGTTTTCTGTCCATGTGTGTTTGCACTCGATCTCTTCCCTACGTGTTCTAATATCCGGTGCATGGACTCCCGGAAATTAAATGAAAGGAGCTCATCAATTTCATCCAAAACCAAGAAACGACAGCCATGAGTGCGAAGTTTCCCAGCTGCACTAATCTCGGCAATACGGCCAGGGGTCCCAACTACAATTGCCGGCTTATTTTTCTTGAGAGCCTCTTCCTGCCTTGATCTGTTTGCACCCCCTACAAGTTGCTGAACCACTTTCTTATCAGAAGGTCCCAGCAGCTTCTCAATCTCCCTCACAATTTGCATGCCCAGTTCCCTAGAGGGAGCCACAATTACTGCTTCAATCTCTGTTTTCCTCCCAAATTCACCATCACCATTGGAAGATTTACCTTTCAATGGGCCTGCTTCAGACAGTATTGGAAGGAGATACGCCAATGTCTTTCCTGAACCCGTGTAGGACTGAATGACAACATCATGTTTCTTAAGAATTGTAGGGATCGCTGTAGATTGAACATCAGTTGGAACCATGAAGCCTTCCCTCTCTAACCTCTCTAACAACAAAGGCGGGAGCCCAAGCTCAGAAAATGACTTTGTGGCAAAAGGAGCTGCCTCTATCTCAAGTGATTTGTTTGCTCCAACAGCTTCGATCCCATTACTTCTAACTGCCTTCACTTTACTTTTGGGGACTTCAAAAGAACTTTGTTTCTCAATTTTGTTATTTTTACTTTTGTCTCTTGTTTCAAAGTCACTCTTGAATCCAAGGCTTGCAAGAGTAAGAGGTTTATGAGCATGATGAACCTGACTCAGGAAACGTACACTACTGTGGGACCAAGCCATCCTAGAAACACGTGACAATTTTTGCAAGGGTAAAGAGTCCCCAACAAGGAGAAGCAACCGCGTTGACACTACCGCTGGCATCTTCGGTAGATTTTCTGACACCAATAACTATAGAACCCTTTAACAGTAAAACTGGAATTAATGGCAGCTGAAAGCTATTGAAACACACACATTTTTTTCTTCAAGCTGCAATTACAATTTTCAAACTCATTAAAAACAAGTAAAAGATTCAGGTTAAAGCGATAGAAACAATATAGGTATCTTCTAGCTTCTAAATTTGCAAAAATATAAATGCCCAGCAAGCCACAGTCCAAGAGAATAACAAAGAACTAACGAAAAAGAAATAAAGAAATAAAGAAGTACCCATTCATTCCCAAAACATAGTTAAAGACCACAACTTTGACCACAAATTCCGCAATTGTATACCTTAACAGTCTTGATAATGTTAATACGTAAATAAACTTATTCAATCACTTCCTTGACATAAAAGTTAGAAAATAATTTAACTTTTTTTTTTTTTGTAGGAATCATAGGTGCCTTTCTTTTTTCAAGTCCCTTCAAATTTTATCAAGGGATAACGCATTACAAGTTGGTTGAGGCCTTTTATCAAACAGTTGGATGGCATGAGCATCAACATACAGATATAACACTGGCGTAAAAACTACTCAAGTAACGAAAATAACACTACCATATGAACAAATTCCCGCTTTTATAAGAGAGAGAAACGAACCAAATTTGTGTTTTTGCTTGTGTTCTCTTGTGAAGAAGAAGCTCAAGTCTGGGCTGTAGGGTGGATATTTCAGTAGTAAGTTGAGAGCTTCGTTTGCATTTTTAAACCAAAGAGACAGATTGTATACCAACGACGTCGTTGAAGCTCAAGTAGGAGCTGTTGGATGGGTTTTTCAAGTGCGTTTAGTTTAATATTCTTATCCATATTTTTAATCCTATTTTTAAAATATTTTTTTATTTAATTATTTAAAAAATATTAATATATTTTTTTAATTATTTTAGACTCTTTAAGTTTATTAATTTCATAAATATCCTCAAAAAAAATTTTAAAATTAACAAAAACACCACCACTTATCCATAGTTGCTAGATTTCGGTAACCATCATCGGTGGTAGTCAGAATCTATCACAACGGCCTACAAACGACCAGAATTAACTAATAATTCACCGATCTGGCCATCAACAACAGCCAAAAAAATGGCCATCATTGATCGACAACGACAGCCAAATCTAGAGTTTTGTAGCCATTGACGGCCAAATCTAGCTGTAGATCTGGTCTTTTCTGGTCAGATCCGTGATGAATCTAACTGGAAAAAGCTATATCGACGCCCTATTCGTCAGATCCGACTAGTCTGCGTCGTAACGTAATTTTCTGGCCAGATTCTGACGATGGTGGCCAGAATCTGGCACTGTGGGTGGGTGGTGGTATTTTTATCATTTTACAAAATTTTTATATATTGGGGTGTTTAGTTAAATTAGCAAACATATAGGGTTTTTTATTAAATTGTAAATTTTAGCTCGTAATACTTGTCATATTCAACTACCCAATATTATTCCTAAAGTCCTATCCAAAATAACCAAACAAACGACCAGTGATTCGGGCCACGTTCTGACCAGTGATTCGGGAGCATCGTCAGATTGTTTGGGGGGGTGGGGGGAACACCTGCCCAGCCCGGATATATATTACGTCCAGGCCACGTTCTGGGACATTAGGCCCGGACTTTAGCAAGAAAGTCCAGGCCCAGCCCGGGCTCGGAAATTTATTTGAAATTTTGTGAAATTACAGATAACCCAATTTAAAATACATAAAGCCCCCTAAAAAATTACAAACAGTCTTCTAAAAAGTTTTCCCTAACAATAATTCGACAACCTTCAATGAAAGTTACATAATAACCGTTAATAAATTAATCCAACACCCACCTATCAAGTCAACCAAACCCAGGCTGGCGGGACGTAAGTGTGTAAAACCCGAGCCAATCTGGGCAAGTTCCAGGTCTTTTATTACTGTTTTACATCCCTAATACTGATGAGTGATGCATATTAACGACGTCATTTCGTGATTACTATACACTCACATATGGTTTTCAAGGACTTTGAGTTTCTTAAGAATAATTCATCCTTTACTATAAACTAATTATAACCACATCGATATAGTTAACCAAAATAAAAAATAAAAAAGTTTGTTATTTGAGGGTATAAAATACACTATAAATAGACTCCACATAGACTATATAAGATCGTATTTAGTCAAATAATTTAATGCATAGAAAGAAAAAAAAAAAAAACATCTATTAGATGTCATTTTGTCTAGTAAAACTAGGGGCGGAAAAAAAAAAAAAAAACCAAAGCGAATCAAACTGAAAAATTGAACCGAAACTGAACAAAAAATTAGGTTTTTTGGGGGATTCGGTTCGAAATAATGGGTAAACCGAATATTCGGTTCGGTTTTGGTTTTTAGAAAAAAATAAACCGGTTAACCAGAACCAGATTGCTAAACCGGTTTTTAAAAAATATTTTTTTTTCTTTTATTAAATACCTCTCTCTTTCTCGGTTTCTCCATCGTTTTATTTTGTTAAATAACACTCTCTCTCTTTCTCGATTTCTCTACCTTTTTCTTTTATTAAATGCCTCTCTCTCTCTTTCTCGATTTCTTTCTCTCTCTCTCTTTCTCGATTTCTTTATCTTTCTCTTTTATTAAATACCTCTCTCTTTCTTTCTCCATTTTTCATCTTTCTCTTTTATTAAATTCCTATCTCTCTCTCTCACTCTCTCTACAAATACAGATTGCAATTCAAATGACATCCACTTCTCTATCTTTTCATTCTCTGCAACTTCAGTTCCATACTCCACGTAAAACATCATCATCAAAACCATAAGCCATATGTACAAGCACCACAAACCATGGTTTCACCATCTCAACCTCCAATCTGAAAAATCCCAAGAAACTATGGTATCCCTTTTATTGGTCCGATCAAAGACCGTCTTGAGTGGGTGAGTGGCATTCTGAGCTATAGTAAATTGGGCCAAAGTGAAAGGTTTTATTGAATTGGGTCGACTGGTCCAAGCCATTTTAAAAAACCGATTAACTGAACTGAATTTTTACTTTGGTTACAAACCGGTTTAAGTGAAAAACCGGTCCGGTTTCGGTTCGATTTTTCACCTAAACCGGAATCCAGTTCGGTTCAAATATAGGATAAACCGGTTCGGTTAACCGGTTTTTTCCACCCCTAGGTAAAACAATATAAAATCATTTACAAGAATAATTTTGTCATTACAAAAGCATATAAGTGGTTAGATTGGGAATTTGCTATAACCACACCCTTACAATTTTAAGCTATTTAAGAATATTCTTCAAATGGATAACTGTTTGTGTTTGGAATTTTTTTTTTTTTTTCTTTCTAAAAAAGAAAAAGAAATTTGTTTTCTATTTACAAAGAGCTTTATAATATAATTTTCTTTTAGTAAAGGATAATTTTTATGACTTTTAGAATTATGTCAAGATCATAATTTTATTTTGTTTAAATATTTGGTCTCATTTAAATATAGCTTAGACAAGTTAGAGGGATGTGATTTTTCGACTTAAATTTTTTACATAAATTTTCAATCGTAGATTCATTACAATCCAACGGTGTATGAATTGCGTAGGTGAAAAACATAATAATTACTTCCAAATTCTTTCTCACATCCATTAGATTGTAAAATATAAACGACTAAAAAAATTGTGGCTTAGTTTAAGTAAAAAAAAAATAAATTAAAAAAAAAAAAAACAAAAATAAAATAAAAAAAATTAAAAAATTAAAAAAATTTTAATTAAAATAAAAAAAAAATTATTTTAACTCTTATCCTCTCTAGTATTAAATAGATTCATGACTAATAATATTACAATTCCAATCTGAATTATTATAACCTTATTCTTTAAATTTTAAAAATAATTATTTAATTCGTAATACTACGCTGATAAACGAATCTCATAAATTTTCTCTCATAAATCGACGTTGCACCTAGTTGGCATTAACACGTTAACTGACAACTTTAACTAAACATGAACGGTCATTCTTTAGGGACGAACGATCGTTTCTTGATAAGGAACGGTATTTCCTTAATAAAGAACGGTCTTTCCTTGTGAAGAAATTGTCGTTTCTTCATACATAATGATTGTTACTTCCAGAAACGAGAATAGCCATTCCTTAGAGAGGAACGGTTATTCCATTGAACAGTCGTTTCTTGAATCTAATCAAAATATTTTGTGCCTTAAGTATGGTGGTGGCGTAGTATTATCAACTCAATTAACACGCTAGGATTTGTGAGATTATTTGTTATCCTATCTTTATTCGATATGAAATGTCATCTCAAACTGAAGCCACCTTTATTCGGATCCTTTTTCTTACAAAATAATATTATCTTTAACCGAAAATTGTAACAGGTGTTGTCGCGGAAGAGTAACGGAGCAACGTGCATGGCAGATTCGAAGCTTCCAGCTTCTTTAAATCCGCTTTACGCAGTCGTTTCTCTAGTGCTTCCTTGCAACAAAAACAGAAAAGGATAGTTTGTGAATAAGTTTGGGACCCCTCAATACGAATAAACAAATATAGATGCTAAAGCAAGCTGCCTACACTACAAATTTTTTTCCTTCATTTCTTTTAATAATCCAATTTCATTCCCAACCCATTTCGAAGTTCTCTCTGCCTCTGTTACTGTCAAAGGTATGATCTCTACCTATGTCTAAAAATTCAAGAACATCCATATATTATTGATACCAGTTTTGAATGGTGTTCATGGTGTCAGTAGCTTAAATGAAATTAAAGAGCTGAGGGGACGATGAATGGTGATTCTTTTTGGTTCTTTGCGTTTTGTTATTTATATACAGTCTATAGATACATGTTTATTCGTGACTAGTTGAGATTGTTGATTTAAACTATTTGATTTTTTTATTATTAAATTAGTGAAAATGGTTTTTGTGTGTTTATTATCAACTCCAACGATTCACAGACTCAGAAGTTTGAAATATAGATTTCGCGTTCGCCGCTTGTCTGCTGGGATTCCATTTTTTGTCCACTGTGTTTTGTCATATATTGTTAATGATCAATTGATGATGTATTAGATTTACAAGTATTACTGCTTAATAATATATTTTCTCAAGTTACTGAGCCTCTTCATTCTTTGTCAGCCAATTGGCATGTTCTTGTTATATATCCTCTGTACAAAATAATGAAGTAAGCTACTCTACCCATTTTACTTCATCTGTTTATCATTTCATATATTTAATTACTGAAGAACTTTCCTTCGATGGTTGATTGTTGTTCAAAGATAAACATATGAATATGTCAAATACTTGTTCTAAATTGATAATAGATTAGGTTTAGATAGAAAAATATTCCTTATATCATTTATTATGTTGTGTACAATTATTTGGGTATAGGGGACGAGTACGGTGGGATGAAGCGAATCTCAATGAAATCAACACAAATAAACCTATAAGGAAAAAAATAGACGAACCTAAGACACCATATCACCCAATTCTTGGAGAAGATGGTAAGGAATAAGCTCTAGCTAAAACCCCTTTTACTTTTGAAATGATTTGATGCTATTATTTATAATTTTGATAGGTTGTTCTTCCCCTGAATCGGATTCCTCTGACTCAATTAGTTATGCTGCAAATGCTGAAGCTGTAAGGATTGCACTGAATAAAGTAGCTTTAACTCAAAACCGTTCTGCGCAATTTGGGGACGCCATGGACAAAGAAGAAGGTTCTAAAACTTACCTTAGTTGCAAACATTAATTTTCTGCATAAAATATTTCTTTTTAATGACTTGTTTTCAGGCTCAGTAAAACAACCGCGTGCTATTAAGTTTGAAGAGCAGAGAAGAGCTCATTATGACGAGTTCAAAAAAATGAAAGAACTGAAGCAAAAAGGGTCCTTTCTGGATTATGAAGATTTAGATGATTACTCTAATCATGAAGGAATATGCAATGCATCCCCGTCTCAATCTCAACCCAGTGACCTTAAAGAAATTTATATTCATAGTGGTGATGAAATTCTCAAAACACTAAACATTGAGGGACATTTTAATTCTATGTAATTAAGAGGACCTCATGTAATTTACTATTAGAAAGCCTGTCCATATGATTAATTATCCTTAGCTGTAAAAGCATTTTCTTTTTGTTTGGACTGTGGAGAAGCCTGTGGAACATCGTCACAATCGGGCATATTTTGGCCCCACCTTAACGTCTACTTTCTTCTTATCATATGGCCAAAGCCAAAATACAAGCTCAGGTTTTGGCAAATAGCAAGCCAATTCCAAGGCTTGTTAAAAGCTGGTCAATGCGATGTCGATTGCGCAACACTCCAAAATTAAGGTCCTTTTTAACAATGATTTGGCATTCAAAATTCATTTTAAAGCTCAAATTTATCTTAATGTATTTGTATTAAAAAGCATAAGTTTTTGTTGGTGGAATTTAATTGAATCCTAGCAAATCTTAAATCTCAGAAAGTGAAAAATAATACGAACAAAGGACAAACAAATAACCACACACACAAACACAAGATTTATAGTAGTTCACTCTCCGTATGAGAGCTACGTCCACTTTGTCACTGTGGAATTTCACTATGAAGAAGAAAAAAAAATTACAAGAATCTCTCACAAACCTCACAGATTGACTCACTCACTCACTAGACCTTGTTTGGTGGCTTTCACTCTCTAATTGTGGTTTTGTCTTCTATTTTTTTTGTAAAATCTAACTCTAGCACTTAACCCCTTTTTATAGGTAATACATGGGACACTATTCCTAATAGGATTCAAATCTCAAATCCTAATAGGAATTATGTTTTAATTCCTAATACAATTATGATTCTATTCCCAATTGTATTCCTAAAATAAAACAGTTCTATTTAAACACAAATTAGGAAAACCTATGTCCTAATCCAACTCTAATTTGGATTGAATTTGGCTTCACAATCTCCCACTTGGAGACTAATTCAACATGTCTTAAATTCTTCACTTCCATCAGCAGTGGCATCAACTTTTCTTTCTTCAAACGAGAAGTCCAATTGAAATTGTACACTACTTCAGTTTCTCAATGGTAACTATCTTCGTAAACATATCAAATGAATTTTTTACTCCCTTCAATCTTCTTGAGAGCTATAACTCCTTCCAAAACTGAGCGTATGAAATGGTAATGAACTTTTATGTGTTTTGTCCTAGCATGGTAGGCTGGGTTCTCTGTCAGGTGAATTGCACTTTGGCTATCACAATACAAAGCGTTCCTCTCATAATTCTGATCCAATTCTTCTAGGAACCATTGTAACCATATTAGCTCCTTACTAGCTTCTGTCATAGCAACATACTCTGCCTTTATAATGGAAAGAGCAACAATCTTCTATAACTTTGAAACCCAACTGACTGTTGTACCACCTAACGTAAGGACATAACCTGTGGTACTCTTGCAGTTATCAATATTACCAACCATATCAGCATCCACATAACATTGTAGCTCTAAGTCTGACTTCCTAAAGCATAATGTTGAATCTTTAGTACCTTTCAAATATCTGATAATCCACTTTACTGCTTCTCAATGTTGCTTTCCTGGATTACTCATGTACCTACTCACAACTCACAGTGCATGTGCTGTGTTTGGCCTTGTACACACCATGACATACATCAGACTACCAATCGCTGATGCATAAGGTACCTTGGCTATGTAGTCTCGTTGATGCTTTATTGTAGGTGACTGATCTTTGGATAGTTTAAAGTGACTAGCCAAATGAGTACTTACTAGCTTTGCTCCATCCATGTTGAACCTATTGAGTACTTTCTTTGTTGAACCTATTGAGTACTTTCTTCACATACTCTTCTTGTGACAGCTTCAAGAGACCTTTAGCTCTGTCTCTGGTAACCCTCATACCAAGGATTTATTTTGTAGCTCCCAAATCCTTCATAGCAAACTCCTTTGACAATTGCCTTTTTAGCTTGTCTATTTTCTGTTTACAAGCCCCTGCAATCAACATGTCATCTACATATAGTATTAGGATAATATAGGAATTACCAAGTTTCTTGAAATAATAGCAATGGTTTGCTTGGCATCTGAGGAAATCGTTACTACACATAAACCCATCAAACTTCTTGTACCACTGTCTAGGCGCCTGTTTTAGCCCATACAGGCTCTTGTGAAGTTTGCACACCATTCTCTCCTTTCCTTGTACCTTAAAACCTTGTGACTGTTGCATAGAAATTTCTTCATCCAGTTCTCCATGAAGAAACGTTGTTTTTACATCTAACTGCTCAAGATGGAGGTTTTCTTTTGCCACTAACCCAAAAAATGTTCTTATTGTAGTCAACTTGACAACTGGAGAGAAAATTTCAGTGTAGTTAATGTCTTCTTTCTGCTGAAATTCTTTCACGGCCAGTCTTGTTTTACATCGTTTACTGCCATCATGTTCATCTTTCACCTGATAAACCTATTTGTTTTGCAATGCCTTCTTCCCTTATGGTAGCTCTGTCAACTATCAGGTTTGATTTGTTAATAATGAGTCTATCACATCCTTCATAGCTAGCTCCCACTTGATTGAGTCGTCAATTTGCATTACTTCCTTGTAACACCCTGGTTCACCACCATCAGTTAGTAAAATATAATACAACGAAGATAATATCTGGAAGTAGGAAAGACATTCCCTTGTCGTTTACTGCGCGAACTCATACGCATACTTTGATGCTAACTCGAATGATGTCTTGGGAGAATTCCTTTTTCAAGCACCTCCTGTACAACTGGATCCTCATTCTGGACGACATTCAAAAGAAAAGCAATCTCAAGGGAGGATAGGAAATCAACTCTATCTACTGATGCGGCCAAAGAGTTTTTCCTCTTCTATATACGATGATAGTGGCTAGTCGAGTTCACAGGGCTTGGACACGCCTCCCAATGTGAACGATTGGATTCTACCAATCTAGTTCCATTACCTACAAATAGATGTACCAAATGAGGGCTGTGGGTGTGGATATCCCCTATTTGCTCGTTTTTCATTTTTTTTGTAGGAAGTGAACAAGCACTTTCTCTTCCGGCCCCTTCCGGGGCAGCAAGCTCGCCCCCATGGAGGGAAGATTTTTTTGAGATGGGTGTACCTATGTGGTGGTCTTATAGTCCTGGAAGATCTTCTAGGTCCAAACATGGGTGTATGTGGTTCAACTTCTAGAGCTATATTATCTTGATCTTCCTGATCATTGTCTTGCATGTTATTCCTTGGGAAGTCTTTCAAAGGAACTACCTCTTGCTTCTTCAATTCAATGTTCGGATTTTTTAACTTCATGTTGTGTCTATCCTTGTACATCACTTCTTCATTGAATATGACATCTATGCTCCTTATAATCTTGTGGTTTTGGTCATCCCAGAAACGATAACCAACTCGGCATCATCATAACCAGTGAAAAAATATTTGTTAAATTTAGCATTAAACTTACTTCTAAGAGCAGGGTCAATGTGAACATATGCTAAACAACCAAACACTCTTCAATTTAGCTCTTTGCCGCTCCAAACTTCTTATGGAATCTTGCAATTTAGCGGAAACAGAGGGTCCTCTATTGAGCAAGTAGCTGTAGTATTAATTGCATCAGCCCAAAATGTATGTGGTAGTCTAGCATGCAATCTCATGTTTCTTGAGGAGTTGCAGGAATGATCTTCTCCATCTTGATCCCATTATTGTCACAATATTCTTTGAACCCTTGATTAATGTACTCTCCCCCATTATCGGATTGCAAGCACTTCACCCTTAGGTTTGTTTCATTTTCAACCATGGCTCTCCACTTTTTTAAAGTATCAAAAACATCATATTTATTTTTCAAAAAATAAACCCATACCTTTCTGCTTGTGTCATTAATGAACGACACATAATACTTTAAGCCTCCAAGGGATGACACATGAGCAGGTCCCCACACGTCTGTACGAACCAACTCCAACTTATTTGCCTTTGGTTCTCTTGCTCTTTTGAAAGAACTTACTCTTCTCTATTTGCCAAAGCTACAACTTTCACACAAACTGTGATGAATTGACTTCAACTCTGGTAGTTTCCCCTTTGATTAAAGCTCTTCCATTCCTTTCACGCTCATATGTCCAAGTCTACAATGTCACAAACTCGAGGTAACACTATCATCTGCGACTGCAATTGAATCTCTGCAACTAGAAGTCATGTAAAGAGTTCCAGTTTTATTTCTACGAGTAACCACCATGGCTCCTTTAGTAACTTTCCATACACCACCCAGAAAAGACACACTGTGCCCTTCATCGCCAAGTTGCCCAATTGATATTAGATTGTGCATCAATTTTGGTACATGCCTTACCTTTCGGATTTTCATCTTCAACCTAAAATCACCCATACCTATGATATCCAAGGTTCTCCATCTGCTAGGTATACCTTTCCATGATTTCCATTTCTAAAATTACACGGTGTGCAGCGGTATGGAATGAAGCTCCTAAATCTAAAACCCAAGAGTTAATAAAACTATCAACAAATAAAAGTAAAGCATATGGTACCTCCTCAGTTACGGCATTGGTGGCGTTGTTATTATTGTTCTCCTCTTTCTTTGGTGCTTTGCAATTCCTCTGTATGTGACATTTATTGCCACAATTCTAGCACTCTATTTTTTCCCAAACCTGGACTTGCTTCTTCCGTTCCTTGATTTTGATCTTCCTCTGCCTCGGTTTGAATTTCTATTG